CTTTCCTGTGGATAAGATGACTGAATAAATTGTGAAATATTGGGAACCTTGGCGATTGTTGCGACTAACAGTACACCAACGAAGTCGTCACTGTCGTAGAGGCAGCAGAGTCAGTTGAGATGACAGAAACAGCAGTCGATGAAGTAAAGCATGAGTGAATTCCAAGGAGAGGAAAGAGGCGGTTCGAAAGCGATTTTTTCTACTATGAATAGAAAGGTAAAACAAGCAAACAAATATGGGGAACAATGATAAACATTTTTGGGGATCAAGGGAACAGCGCAAAAATTTTCGGGCTGAACGAAACAAGCTGAAAACATTTTTGGGAAGAAGGGGTTATATTAACAGGGAACGAGGGATAAAATCCAAGAGGATTAAGGGATCAAGGCAACATGTACCCCCCCTCCGGATGGGCTCACTAGCAACTGATTTAATCAAGTGGAAGCAAGACAATCTCAACGATCAATTTGCTAAAATAGGGCAGATAATTACCAATAAGTGTTCTCCTCCACCATACTTTTGAGAGCATGAGATACAGCCTTCTCTGATTTGCTGAGCTTGTTATCCAAAGTAACTTTGAATTCTTCATTCAGAAACGAAATGCAAAAGTTCGAATCTGCGATCTTTTTTCCATTGTATTCGATCCATGGAATTTTTCCTTTAGAAGAATTCTTGGGCACGAAAGAATTTTCGTAAGGGATCTCCGCCATTCGAAGGTAAGTTTCTAGTTTTAGAGCAAAGTTTGAACTCGCGGGAACTCCATCTGAAATCGGAGATTGATGCAGTAATACTATACCACTAGGAACAGTCACCTTCGGTGCATTAGCACCAGGAATTATGCTTTTCATGAAGACACGCACTAGTATTGATCGCACCCGTGCCACCATCTTGTTTCTCTCGTGAGGATGCTGGTGTAATAGACACCTTAAGATAACCGGTTCCAGGTACGGGTAGGATTACCAGTACCCGTACTCGATTACATGGGAAACCAATCAAACTTAGGATACACCGGGTGACACCGGATACGATCTGTCGAATCTGTCAAGTACCATCTGAAATCATCTGAAATCATCTGAAATAAGCCGAAAACATTTTTCTGTGGGATTTAATTGACCTTTTTCTCTCTTTTCTTACAATATACTACACGTATGCCCTAGGCACAAAAATGGAAAAAGCCTCGTTTACTTCTATCAAAACGTTTAATCAAGATGTATCCTTTTTAAGTCCACATAAAGTAGGTATATTGAAATTACGTTTTTTCATCGGGTTCATGACCTGCTGTATGTTAAATCTATTTTTAATGTGTCTCAACCAATATTTCGCGAAGAGACTATACTTTTGGTAAGCTGCGCGACCTTTTGACAAGAAAAACTTTTTCCATATTTGCGACTCAATAAAACTTTTTCTCAATCCCAAAACGCTTCAAATCAGAAAAGCAAGTGTTTATGCAAGAATCTGTATACCATTCTGGTCTAATAAGTACCGTGGCCGGTATGTACAAATTACCTACGTTATTCACACAAAACACATGCAAACTTAATAATTTGCGGACAAACTTGACAAAAAGCCAGAAATAAACTTCATGACAGGCACGCGAACTTTAAAAATGGCACGCAACGTTAAAGTGAAACGCGCACAAACTTAAAATGAGACAAACAAACTGAAATTGAAACGCACACCAACTTGAAATGAAACGTATACAAACTTAAGAATAAAAACGCACGCAAACTTAAAATAGAACGTACGCAAAATTAAAAAATATGAACACAAACGTAAAGTCAAACGGACAAAAACTTAAAATTAAGCGAATACAATCTTAAAATTAAACAAACACAAACTTAAAATTAAACGAACACAAACTAAAAATCACAAACGAACACAAACTTGAGAGGAAATGTGGTCAAAAATCGAACATTTTCAAAATATGGTGGCAACAGCCGAAAAATCGATTCGGCTCATATCCTCAAGTTAGGTAGGCCTTATGGTGAAACAAAGCACTGCATACTTCGTTTGGCTGAATATCGATTTATTTTCAAGAAAATCGACAAAAGCTAAAGCTCAAAATTTCAGACGAATTTCTGGGCGTCGCGCCACGAATTGAAAACACTTGAACCGATAAAAACTACTAAATCTTGAAAAACAACATCAATACATAATTTGACAGCAATTTGAGCAATTCTTGATCATTTAGTTACAGAACGTAATTGAAGTTTATCCGACCTTCTTCTAACAAGATTAAAACAAGGTCAAAAGTAACCCGTTATTTAACTGTGCTATAGAAAATAATCGACTGAAAATCTGGCTTTTGGAAGGCGAAATGTATTTTCCGCTGTTATTCCATGTAATCAGTTGCAGTTGTTTTCGTTTCACACTTGCCGCACCCACTATTGTACATTCTGTCTTACATGTATCTCCTGATTGGCCATCCATTAGTACTTATACTCTTCGCTGTCTCTTGAGTCCCATTCACCCTTGCGGTTCCATACAGTTTATTCATCTTTCTGGTCCACAGTTTCTCCACTCTCCTGCGAAATTTGTCTAAACAAATGTCTCTCAAAAGGAACGTTTGACTTGGGAACAAAATAATTGTCAAGTACCTGAAGTGTTGCCTGAAAACTCACATCCTCGCCATCACCGGCTAATGTGAAATAAATTTCTTGAACGTCCATACCAGCAACGTGCAACAGAAGAGCTCGCTTTTGAGCGTCGTTCGAAATACCTTTTCCCGTCACGTACAAATCGAACGCTCGCTTCCATCTCTTCCACCGCTGACTTAAATTGTGTGCCTCTCCCTTCGGATTAAATGGTTCCAATCCACTGACATCTAAAGCAACTGTAGCCATTCCAGAACCATTAACAGAACTGCCAACAGCACCGCTTGTCGTTTCGTCTGATCCACCGTGTCCCGGCATCTCTGAATAAAATCCCTGGCGAAATCACTTACGAATTCTCGGACGAAACTCCTGAAACCTTGGACAAAACCTCGAAATCCTTGAAGTCCTCTAAATCTTCACAATTCTCGAAATCCTCGTCGCCAATGTAGTACACAGCGGTTAAAATGAAATCGGTTTTATTCACGTACCTAAGAGAACTACCTAAATAATTAAACACATGCTGTATATATGCAGGTCTCGAGGGTATTACATCACACCATCACGCCTCGCATTACATCGTGCATATTTCATGCTCGTTGGCATCCTATACACTACAGGAACCCACCCAAGTATTGGACTGGCTGGGTTTAACCTGGAATTCCGCACTAGGTACTTTAAAAATTGTACAAAGAAGAATTCTTAAGATCATCAATACAATTGATCATATCATCGAAGCCGACTTCAAAGTGTCTGCTAGAGAGTTGGCCTCCTTCACAGGTCAAATTATCTCTACCGGCCACGTAGTTGGTAGCATTGGCAGGATAACGACCAGATATTGTGTCTTGTCCACCTTGTGCAGGGATAACTGGGATTCTATATCCCTTCTCGACGATTACTGCAAGGAAGATCTGTATTTTTGGAAAGAAAATATGGTTAATATCAACACTAGGTATTGCTTTGTAAGTAAAGATCCAAGTTATTTTGTTTATTCGGATGCCAGCGCTACTGCTACTGGAGGTGGAGCAGTTATTGTCTTTAACAATTATTTTGTGTGCCACAAAATGGGGTCGGAGAACGAGAGAAGTCAAAGTTTAACGTGGAGGGAGTTGTCCGTTATTGAGTTTTCATTACAATCATTTGCCTCGGAGTTGGAAGGATCACACGTTAAGTGGTTTACAGATAGCCAAGTAGCTGCAAAGATTGTTGAAGTGGGCAGCATGAAATTAGATTTGCATAAAATGGCCCGAACGATTTTTGATATTTGTATTCGATCGGGAATTCATTTAGAAGTGCAATGGATCCCTCGCACTTCGAATCAGCAAGCTGATTATATATGTCGTTTAATTGACACTGACAATTGGCAAATTACTAAAGAATTTTTTCTTTTTCTTGATGGCCTATGGGGCCCGCATAGTGTAGATTGCTTTGCTAATTATTATAATCACAAGCTCCCCAAGTATTTTTCCAGGTTTTGGAACCCCAACACCTCGGGGGTTGATTTTTTCTTTCAATTTCTTCGGGGAGAAAATTGTTTAGTAGTCCCTCCAGTTGGTATCATCCCACACGTTTTGCATTATCTCAAATCCCAGCAGGCCGTTGGTACGCTCGTTGTACCTCTTTGGCCTTCGGCTCATTTCTGGCCTTTAATTGTACACAAGTATAGTCGTTATCTTGTGGCTCACAGTGTTCATATTGGGAATGAGGTTCTAACCCACGGAAGAAACCTTAATTCGCTCTTAGGGTCTGATCTTTTCACAGGAAATATTATTGCCTTTAGATTGAAATTTACCGAGTAATTCATTGGACGGAGTGTCCAATAGCCTAAATATTATTTACATTAGTGGCGCTGGCCAAGGCAGTGTACCGTTCATCTATGAAGCACTGGCCTATTTATAGCCTATCATTTCATGTGGCGCTGTCTTAAACGGAGTATAGTTGATATATGTGGCGCTGGCCCAATCTATGGTTGTTCATTTACGCGGCTCTGGGCCATACGATAGTCTATCGTCTTACGGGGCACTGGCCCCAACAAAGATTGAGTTTTGAACGGTTACTAAAGGACGTTCTTTCTTTTGTTCCTCTTTGTTCTTTTAGTATTTATGCTTTGTTCTTGTCTTTCTAGATAATGCTATCAAGTAATTCCTGGAAAAGCTTTCAGCAATTTTCTTCAATCAACGTTTACGAGGTTCTAGAAGTTATGTTGAGGTCCAGGGCGGATACAACTACTAAAGCTTACATTCGTCTTATCAGAAAGTTTTTGGACTGGTCTAAAAGTAGACATTTCAACATGCAGTTACCTTTTCCTCTTAGTGTTGTTTCTCTATATCTATTTGAAGTTCAGTGGTCTTGCGCTTCTAGTTCCTCAGTAATTTTAGCCCATGCGGCCCTTAAATGATTACATTCATTTGTCCCCAGTTTGGATCGTAATCCTTTAGATAGTGAAATTTGCAGGAATATCATCGAAGCTGCTAAACGCCAGAAGTCACAGCCAGTTATAAAAAAGAAGCCTATTACCACAGACATCATAAGGAGTATTTTAGATATTCATAACAAGAAAGATGCCAATTTAAAGAATCTTCGTATCGCTGCGTTATGCTCTTAAGCTTTTGCAGGATTTTTTCGTTAGGATAAATTATGCAATATTTCTCCTAAGCATATTGAATTTCACAGTGATTATATACGAATCTTCGTGCCTCGTAGTAAGGCAGATGTTTATAGGGAAGGGAATTTCGTCTTTATTAGTGCATCCAGGTCTAAGTACTGTCCCTGTTGGTGTTTTACAACGTTAAGTAGATTTATCTGGTTTTGACGTGAGTAGTCCCCTCCCTTTATTTAGACCCCTTGTTTTTCACCGTAGTAGTTCTACCTATACCCTGAGAAGCGGAAAGATTTCTTATACTACTTGTAGAGATATCTTAAGGAAAACCTTAAGTCAGTTGGGCTACAACCCTGATGATTATGGTCTTCATAGTTTAAGATCCGGTGGTATTACATCTGCGGTACGTAATAGTGGGAACTCGATTCCAGAGAGACTTCTTAAAATACCTTCTTAAAAGCCTTGAAAACAGGTTACATGTGACCAAGTATTTAGGTTTATAACATATTGTCGAGCATATATTAGTTTCTGCGTACAGTAGTATCTAAAGAATTGTAAAATAAAAAAAATGATAAATAAATTAAATAAATAATAACGATAATAACTTTCTAATTTCTATCTTATAATAAACTGTGTTTTGGATCCGCTTGCGGATCCTAACATATTTCTCGTGTGATCTGTTTATATTACGGAAGTTTAAGCGTAAAATAATTTACGTTCGTTTGTAACATATTGTCGAAGGCCAGCAATTACTCCCCAAGAAAAATAAAGTGATCGTAAATGCTCCACTTGATCTTTGGTTATTTCATAGCGTTTACAACCTCGTCCTGGTGATGCAAGATTTAGAGGAGCAGAATAAGATATCTCGAGTGCATCGTAAAAATCTGCATTATCACGGCTTTCAATCTGACTAGACAATAAGGCGATTAACTGTGTTAATGAATGGTTCATGCTCTAAACGGGGGCTTGAAGTGCAGATAAAGGGATACCAGTTACATTTGTAACACCGCCGACTAAATGATTCATTAGAAAAGACAAGGAACCCGATGCATCCAGTAATCGATACCTTGTTTCAATTAGAATGTCTGTCCCCAACTCTTGTTCACCAACATTTGCCAAAATTTTGAGAACGCTTTTAAGATTCTGAAGAAACATCACGAACCCACGTTCACTTCTTTCTCGTAACTCCACTCGACGTGACCTTTGTTGACAAGCCGCCATGTTGTTCGCACATGGCTGAGAATACTGCCGCAAAGACGTATGGGACAAAAACACAAAAATAATTCTGGTTTCGCTCAACAAAATTTAATTTCTGAATAAAATAAATGTGACCTTAAAAAAGCGATTACAAGGTATATAAAATTAATTTCTCGACTGGAAAAACATTTAAAGGGATATAAAATTCATTTCTAACTAAAGAAAAACAAAAATGGTATAAAAAGTTAATTTCTCCGCAGGAAAAATAATTCCCTAGCATAAAGAAAATGATTTATGGCAGTTGAACTAATTCAATAAAGGTAAAAATAATTTCACATATTCAAACAAATAATTACTGGTACCTCACAGTTAAGTCCATTGAGAAGTGAAAAATAAATATCTATTTTGACCAGAACGGGCCTTCACACAAAACAGTAGAGAACAAACAAAACAAGCAAAAGGAATATAAGGATTTAAAGGGTTATCAAGATAGGCTGTTTGGAGAGAATGCCATAGTTCGAGTGGGAAATACTCAAGCCCGTAGTAAAACTGAGAAGTGGATTCTGGGAAGGGTAGTCAAGGTTTGTAGGCCCAGCAGTTCTTTAGTTAAGACTGGCCATAAAACTAGATATGTTCACGTTGATCATCTTATTAAAGCTTATGATAAGGTGCCAAATGACACTAGGGAGTTGGACATACCAGTTCCAGAATTGCGTGAACACTCTGCTCCAGGTGTAGATAATAGCTTAGCTTCATCTGTTGTGCCGCAGCCGCCACTAAAAGCCGTGTTCTAATGAAGGGAGTGTAAACTCACCACTGCCAATAGTTCTTAGGCGATCAGAGAGAGTCAAGAAGCCTGTTGACCGACTGAACCTGTAGTAAATGTGATAGCTACTATTGTGTTATTTGGTAAACATCTTATTCTTAAAGGGAAGAGCAGTGTAATATATTGAGTACCCTGTAGGTCATAATTATTGTGTATGTACCCAGAGTGCATTGCAGTAATAAAGTTGTGTTGCAGTGGCCATGCTGTTGTGACCTCGTGGCTCTGTTTAGCCTAATATAATAGCAATATTCAGGGGCGGATCCAGGAATTTTTGATTGGGGGGTCCAAACTTTGGTTCAGAAAGGACTGTTGGACCAAGGCAAATTACTTTTCCCCCACACCCCCTCCCACCAGTCGCGGTTGCACGTTATATTCCTTGGCCGCTTGCTTGGATTCATTACTTGGATTCATTACTTGGATTCATTACTTGGATTCATTACAAAAATCAGCCAGTTAAAAAGTGATATACGATCCTGTCGATGCAAGAATTTCAGTTACAAATTTGTAAGCGTGAGGTCTGATGGGGGGGGGGGTTTCGGATCGCCCGGACCCTCCCCTGTATCCGCCACTGTAATATACTAAAGAAGGACGATCGTTCGGGGTATCTCAAGCCATCTGCAATGAAAAGGCTGAAAAAGGAACCTGAAAGGGTTGAAAAAGAAGTTAAAGTCCAAGTTGCAATTGTAACGATGAAGGACGGCAGTCTTTCCGTGAAACGTGGAGTCATAGGCGTACGGGCACCTTTGGACTTGGCGGGGGGGCGGGGCGGTGACTTCCTTGCCCAAAACAAAACACGCAATGCCCGAAAGGGTAAGGGTTGAAATCGGGATGCAGACGGAGACGTTCACCATTTTCCTATTTAACGAAACTGCTACCATTGAAAGCTGTCGATAACTGGTAGTACTGGGGGTGACAACTCTAACAAACGCTCTTTTGGGACAAGGCCAAAACTCTTCCGGGAATCTGGAAATTTCTCCGGGAATCGGGACACTTGGAAATTTTACCGGGAAACACGCGATAATTCCGGGACATTGCAGAAAAAAATCGCGACATCGAAGGAATTTTTATTTCACGTTTTTATCTATTACAAGAGGCTGTTAGGGATGCTGGCCCCGTTGTGGTTACCGTTGTTTCAAATGTACGTTATGGAGAAGAAGGAAAAGAAAGAAAAAAGATTGACGGAGAGCTGTTTGGAAGGTTGACAGCATGTTGTATTACCGAAGAGAGTCGTGTTTTTCTAACCGATGGTGAGAAGAATCTTATTTACGAAACAAACATAGCTAATCCACCTACAGTCGAGGTTATCTCCAACACGTTTTAAAAGACATGAACAGCTCATAGAATATCAAAACCAAAAGACAAATTTTACAAAAGAAGATGCATGAGTACAGGTACTGAACATAAATAAGCAGTTTTGGGTGTTGTGTTCTTCTCTATTGTCAGTGGGAAACTGGTAAGGGTACTGTTAAAAAAGAAGAACTGAAAACATTAGTACAAGAAATCCAAAGATAATGTCTTATTTTTTCAAAGTGAGATTTCGCTTCAACCTATAAACATTGTTTCATTGGGCTCTTTTATATGTAGGCAATTTGAGAGGTTGAGAAAAGAAACTTCCCTTCTGGTTTCAATGTGACAAATGCTCGATTTAAACTATCTCCTAGTCACCGATCAAACCCCTTCTTCAACTAAGAAATAAGCTTTGAACCCCATTACTCCCAAGATCTGATCGATATAATTTCTCCACATTGTCTGCAATACTTTTCTTATAATTTCACCTCTCAGAATTTGGTATTAAATCAAACAGTATCCACTAGCTGACCTTTTTCTTATCATAAACTTTCTCCTTACTTTCTCAATACTGATATTGTATTGTATTGTATATAACAATTTGCCAAAGGCAGGTAAATTTACAATAGGACAAGGTTGTCCTCTACTAGATGAATTACCTTTCCCTACCCCTGGGTTAAACCTCGAAACCCAAGGAGGGTCCAGCATCTAATATCTACTTACAGTGCTATACTGCTGAATCATTCATTAGGATAAAAGTATGAAGAACATAATTTTTACATGTTCAGGGTCATCAGATGTAACAGGTACAGTGTACCTCAATGTGCATGCATGATTAGGAAAATATTCTTTGTCTGTGGTACTCAAGCTTCAGAGTGAAATTTTTTTCTATGTGCAATTGTGTCATCCCAGTCTAGCCAATATTTCTCTTTCATTCTCTCACAATAACCTAACAGATTCTTAAAATCCTTGTGAATTGCTGCATTTTGTGGGGAGCCCTTGTCCTGCCAGACAAATTCTGCCAAAACACCAAACACAGTCGCATCCACAGTTGTAGGCTCCTGGCCCTTGACAAATGGTTTGACATCCAGATAATCAGACAAGGTCTGCAAGTCTTTCTTTGCAATGGAATAAACTTCCTCTTTATTATGACGGCCCATACCATGCCCATTTAGGTACTCTTTAGTGGTGCGCTGGAACATTGAAAAGAAGAAGTCCCATTTCCTTTGTGAGGCTTTTGGAAAGTAAAGTCTTGACGTCAAATCTACGGTATCAATCCAGCGATAGTACACCATTGTCTTAACAGGAAGGATAGAACACACACAGTTTTCATTTTTAATTGAGTTGGATTTGTTGCAACTTAACAGCCACTCTTGAAATGTTCATTTCCTTTTTTTTTTCTTTTTTTTTTTTTTCAACACTGAGCATCTGCAAACCACTTGATCAGTCCAGTTAAGTGATCACCCAATAAAGCAGATCAGCAACTTTGTCAACAGACATTAGTCATTATAGGAAAAAATCAAATTTATCCTTTGATTCCCAAGTTTGGAGAGTGCTAAAACTCTCAACTTATTACAGTGAATTTTGTGGCTAACTATTCCAACGAAATTGGAGTTTTATTAAAGCAGTATTACTCTCTCATTATTTAAATTCCCATTACCTCTAAGCTTAAAGGTGCATTTCTACATTTATTAATGAGGATATTTTCAAATTAATGAGGATATTTTCAAATCAATTTACGTACTGATCATTCCCGAGAGTCAAAGGTTCAATAGAAGGTATCGACATTTTCTCTGACGTAAATTGTATTTAATTCGATTCTCACAGGAAGCGGGCAAATTATTTATAAGATGGTTTAAGTGCTGGGTGAACTTTGCCTATTGTTTTGGTTAGGATTTTTTAAGACCATGAAGCTTTTGTTGTCTGTCTTTTGGAATTTTTCTGTTCGGTGACGCGAACCTAGACTCGGGTTAACTTCGCTCTAGTTCGCAAATTTTTAATGATGACATTTTGGTTCCCCACGGGAGCCTACTAGGGAAAACACAGACAGATTAGCAGGGGGTAAGTTAGGAATGTCAGTACCTTGACATGACGCGTCTGTCGGAAGGACGCGACATGATTCACGAAGGTTGATTCACACTACGCGATTCGAGTTGTAATCATGGTGTAAGCTTGTCGCATGCGATAGAGTCCTAACGTGTAATGCTCCACCCCAGTACACAGTAAATAAATAAATATAAAAGTTTGCAACGTATTTTATCAGTAAAAGTGATTTATTCCAGTCATGTTATTGCGAGCAAGCGTTCTCGGAAAGCTGAGAGCGATCATTTTTTTCCATTCGCGTTAAACTTGTTTTTGTTTTGCCCACGCGAAGCCGTTTTAGAATAAACAGAGAGCAGGCAAAAAGAAAACTGGTCGTCCTGGAAATTACCTCTTTAAGAAAAGAAAGGAAAGAAAACTGCGTGCGTTCTTTTTTCAACCACTGACGCAAGGAACGTAAAATAAACGCGCGCAAAGCGACAGACGACAATGTAAAAAAAACAATGTGCTCATCAAGTTGAAAAAAATACTTCTACCTACAAATTAGGAAAACCACTAAATCACAAAGAATTAGCTTTTAGCCTTACACTTTGCAATGCTAAGGGGCGTCTTTAAAATGAGAGTGTTATTAACTATTGCATCTTAGGCTTTGAAAGAGGGCAGGCAAAAAAGAACTGATCTTGGAAATTACCTCTTCATGAAAAGAAGGAAAGAACACTGCGTGCGTTTCTTTTTTCAACTACTGACGCAAGGATTGAAAAAGAAACAACGCTGTTGTTGTCAAGCCTCAGGAACAAAGAAAGTGTGACTTCACACCTTCTTACGTTTGAGTGATGTCGCTTTTCAGACAGGGTCCGAAAAGCGACATTGACGCAAGGATTGAAAAACAATGTGCTCATCAAGTGCAAAAAAATACTTTTACCCATAAATTATATACAAAGTGGTAAACGTGTGCGAGAAACCAATTGCATGAGGATATTTCACAGCGGTTATTTATGAGCGCACGCGAAGAAAACCTTCATTTCAAGAATTCCTGCCAGCATGGATCGAAAGCGTGAAATCCTAGATTACATCTGCGATGAACGCCTCGATTTACTGGAGGAACTAAAAGGAAAGAAAATCAAACTGCAAGAGACAGTTGCATGTTTACCAGAACAACAAGATTTGTCTTCTGTAATGGAGAATTATCGTTCTGTGGTTGAAAGTGTCGAGAACATGCTGAGAGGACTTGATGAATAGCGCTTTATACTATTACTAAAAATAGATTTTGCTTTACGCAAAGCGGATGGCTCCATCCGTAGAACTCTTTAATAGACTGAAATGGATTCCTTTTTACGAGAAGTGTAAGATTGACAAAGCGTCGATAATGTTTAAACGAATCCATGTTGCACTACCTAGCTATTTAAACGAGCATATTTCGATCAACAACTCAAGACATTCAAGAACTACGCGCTATTCAAACTTTAATGTACTGTGCCCCAGATATAACAGGGAAACTGGAAGGTGGGCGCACCTTTCTCGTCACCGGAACCAAAATTTGGAACGAGTTATCACTACGCATACGGATGGCGGACAGCATAAGGTGCTTCAAGCACAATATGTGGACTAATATTTTTTCGCAGCAACAATTTTTAAGTCATTTTTGTGTATAGTTTCCTTTTTTTCATTCTTACTAGTTATATTGTATATATTCATACATTTTATTAGTTTCTTTACTTATCTTGTAATTATATTATATTATATTAGTTTCTATTTTCATATTGTATTATACTAGTTTTTATATTGTAATTATTTCTGAGTGAGGGCCACAAGTTTATTAGCTATGCTATTATGTGTTACCCTCGTAAAATAAAGTCTTTATTATTATTATTATTATTATTATTATTAAAATCCATCAACACAGAAGTACAAAATTTTTCAAGTGTACCAGTACATGTAAACTACTGACAGAGTGACTTTTCACATAGAAGTAAAACAAACCTGCTGATTCCTGAAGAGAAATTTCCACCCCAGA